GGAGCTTGCAGATTTACAACTTGTTTTATTTCGGAATAAGAAGGGATTTTTTGGTCTGCAAGCAGCAAAATTAATTATTCTCAAACGGTCTCCAGGTATACTTATTTTTTAAATGCAAAATACTTTATTATGTTCTGATTATCATTTTTCTTCTTGAAAATAGTTGAATGGTGGATCCAATTTGGCGATTCCACACCTGAGTTACAGCGTTTTGCTGTTAAAGTTTTAGGCCTCACTTGTTCTTCTTCTATGTGTGAGCGAAACTGGAGTATATATAGTCAAGTGCAAATAAAGATAAGAAATCGGCTTTCAACACTCAGAATGAACTCCCTTGTGTATATTATGCACAACAAGAGGTTAAGAGATAGGAGATTGAGGAATAAGGGATTGAAGGATGATGAGGACCCGTTTGTGTGTGATGATATGTCATCTGATAATGAGTGATTCATAGATGATGAGACAGATTTACCATTATTAAACTTGCAGCTAGAGGATCTAAGTGTGGATGTCTTGAGGGGTGAAGCAGATCAAGTTGGCACATCCACTAGTACCACACCACACACATCCACTAGCTCTGCAGCACAATAACCAAATAAAAGTATTCCACAACTTCTTATATGCTAGTGTATTATATTTATATCAAGTGAGTAATTAACATGATAATGATCATTCTTATTGAACAAGGAAGATAAAAGTGAGTCACATTAAAGATGATGAAGATATGATATTCATAGATACAATTGGATAAGAAGATTCCCTTGAAGACCCATTTAGTGATGGGATATGATTGGATTTTATATGTTCCTTCTTAATTATACTTTGGGAGTTCTGATAGACTATAATTTTGTGGTTTTGTACTTTGAAACATGATTTTATTGCATCTATTTTCTTAATTTTCACTAATTCTACTTATCATTTAGATATTTTTATTGTATGATAGAATCTTGCTATTATTTACCTGCTAAAACCCTTAAATTCTCATTTACGCAATTCTGTGTCCATGAGGCTTACGCCTCACACCGCCTCGAGGCTTACGCCTCGCCTCACGGATGAAAACCACCTCGAGGCTTATTTACGCAATTTTAAACCTTGTTCAAGGCATATGATTGTTATGAAAATGCTACACTACATACCTATATGTCTATGAAAATAATATTTAAATGATTATGCATGTTGAAGGCGGAGTACCAAAATATGATGCAAAAGCACAAATATGGCTCTTATGAGCAATATGGCTCTTCAGGACAAAAGAGGAAAGGAAAATAAATGGCAAAAAGTGCACTTTTCGTACTCCAGTACGGTTATATAAGATAAAAGAATAAGCAAACATCGATATAAGACATATGACATAGTTGAAAGCATATCCATATGATCTAACATATCACATTTAGCATATACATAAGAACATGTGATACTTAACAAAACAATCATGACATTTCATTTTTAGCATACATGTAAATTTTCATTTAAAAAGCATGTGAAGATGTTAGAGTTAGTGTTTCCTACTGAGCTCTAGCTCATTCCCTCGTTTTGGGACATTTTTCAGGAGAGCCCGCTGCAAAGAATGGCTGGTCGCCCTTGGTTCACCTACAGTCGTAGAGGACCGGATTATGTCTTTTTAGTTGTAATTTTCATTTTTGGGTGGTTTGGCATGAATGATAGATTTTAAAGCCACCTTTGTATATATGAAATGATATGCAATGTTTATTATAATTTAGAAAATGTTTAGAGTCACTTTTAGTTTCTTTTTGAAGAGTTTTAGATTATTCAATGCATGATTTAAGAAAAGTTTATGTTCTGAACGTCCGAAATCCGTTCTTGCCTCGTCTATACGAGCTCACCGGGCCGGGTCGTGACATTAGGTCTATAGGAAACCTAAACTCATATCACAAAGCCCTCGCAAAATGAGGACGAAATCTCGAGTAATGTCTTATTCAAAACCTAAACTGCCTTCTGAAGATTTGCCTCCGAACTTAAGCGTTAAAACTCTCCTCGATGACCCGAAAAAGAAAAGGGTCCACAGAGAGGCTAGAGCATGAATTTTCGGAGCTCACACCACACGAGATAAATTGTGAGAACAATAAAGATAGAAGAAAGCATGGCTCAACATGTTAATATTTTCATATGATTGCAGCAAATTATGTCGTACAATTTAAATTCACCAATTAATTTGAATGGCAACTGTTAAAGATGAGCATTTCATGAAACAATACATGGGAGGAAAACAGAAGCTACATTAATCTAAAAAATATTGCAACGCTAACATACCAGATTATCTACCAGTAATGACAAAAAAAGAACATATAACATTTTGCTAAATTCACCGAAACAGTTAGGTCACCAATGAAGTGTATCAAACTGGTTCTGCTGAGTATTTCAAGTGCTTAATTTGATGATTGGCCACAAGTTAACATGAAAACAAATGGTAGCATATAGTTAAAACAATCACAATAAAAATACCATATTGAAGTTCACTCAATTTTCACATGCCTGCAACAGTTTTTTTAGTAATTTATCTGACATGGGCAAAATGCAAAAATCAGCAAGGTCCTGCTTCACTGCAGGTAAAGGTTTCCTGAATCAAATCTATTCATCATAGAAAAACCTAAGTGTTCATCTAATCAAGTATCAGTGAAGTTCATGTGCCAAGGTCAAAAGAAGCTATTCTCAATTATCTTAAATGTTTATATGGGATTCTCAACTTGGTTAAAAAAATTGAAACTTACAGCTCGGGTTGAGCTGTTCTGGTGGAGGATTTGTAGATCTGCAATTCCAACAAATGAATTCTTGAAGTATAGGAAGCTTACAAATGTTGATTTATGTGCTAGAGGTTGCCAGGAAGTGGAAAATTTGTCACACATTGCTATATATTGTAAGCACCTGCAGGATGTTGTTCGGAAAATCCAAGATTGGGGTTTCTACATTCCTATTTTTTATTCTCTGGATAATTGTCTAAGTGAGCTGAGGACTCTATCTACTTTTGCGCCTAATTTAGTCATTCTATATTGCAATACAGTGTACCTAAGTTGGAAAAATAGAAATGAAGTTGCCCATGGTAAAGCCGCTAGTTCTATCTCAGTTACGGCAGCTAATGTTATGTCTTCAGCTTTTTTAATCTCTAATCCACTCATAGATAGCTGGGGTGCTAATCTCCCTAGTGAGTTTCAAAATGTTTGGCACCCTCCACCGCTTGGATGGATTAAGATTAATGTTGATGCGTCTCTCCTAACGTCTTATAGTGCTGGAATTGGAGGTTGCTTTAGAGATGATAAAGGAAGATTACTGATTGCTTTTGGTGAAAGAAGAATGCATTGGGATATAGCTCATCTTGAAATAGAAGCTGTGATGTCAATTAGAAGATTCATTCAACCGTGGATGTTTGATAGTAAATGACTCATAATTGAAGGTGATAACCTCAACGTTATCAAGTTCATTCAAAATTCTTTGAATAAGGCTAAGTAGCAAAGCTACAACCGGATAGAGGAGGATCTTCTATTCTTGGCCGATTTCAATAAGGTAATTTTCAACCATATTCATAGAGATTGTAATAAAGTAGCTGATATGTGTGCTACTTTGACTTTAGATAACAATTTTTGTTTTGATAGTTCTTCTTTTGCTAACATTCCTTCTTCTCTTAGTTCTTTATTGAAGAGGGAATGTGAGCCTTTGCTTTAGTTTGTACCTAGTTCTTTTTCTTCAATTGCTATTGCATTTTTCAAAAAAAAATAAAAAATTATCTTAAATATTTTCTGGAACAACAATGCTTCATGGTTTTTAAATTTGTTTCCCTCAGTTCAGATCGGTTTCGGCCAAGTACAGTCCAAAACAAAGCTTATTTAGGGTATCAGGTGGAAATTACTAGTCTTGCTTGATTCCAGCCTCATTTCAGCTAAGCCAGATCGTAATAAGGGGATTTCAAGTATATAACATCCGCAAAGCACTCAATAAAATGATTCCTACCACAAATGCTTGGATCGAACATAACACCCACAAATTTTCAATTGGGCATCCTAACCAACATGGCAAGGCTTGCTTTTAGTACATGAGGGTCAAATATATTTAAACACATGCTTCAGGACTAAACTCCTAAGAGCTTACTAAATAACAAACATTAAAACCATCCGCATAGTAACTATAATTTGGCAAATTTTTATATAATTCAGAACAATTGACAATAAAAACATAAAACTAATTAAAGCACTTAATGTTAATATATATAATAATACACCTAATTATAATGAATTACGTACTGTAGCTCACAATTTAAAACATAAATTAATCTAAGTAATCTAGAAAAAAAATTTGGATAAATGTAGAATAACTTATTATTATAATTGTATAATTTAAATTGGTACAAAAGTAAATAAATATTTTTTAAATATATTTATAAAATTAAAATACATGGGGATATTCATCACAAACTTTAGAATCATGAAAAGTATTATACAAGTGAAGAAAACTTTAATTAACGTCTTCAAATTTATTCTTTAATTTTCAAATTATGAGAAACATAATTAAATAAATATTACAAGTTCTTAAAAGTATAGTGATGATAAAAAGGTAATTGTAGCTGAATCGGAAACTAATATTGAAACTATCAAGACTACCAAAACCGATCCTGAAAACCATGCAATGATGCATTGATATCCTACTTGTTTCCATCAAAAAATGGTTTTTAATTTGAAGTGATATTTTCCAACTCTGTGAACAAGCATATCAAGCATCAAGCAATTCAAAAAACAGTATGCTGCTTCAATACTGAGAAAAACCTGACAAATAGATATGTGAGAGATAAATGGAGAACCATATAATCCAGCTAATGTAAGATACACAACCTACTTAAAATCTCATGGAAACTAGAAAACTTTCTCCAATGAGCATTACAAAAAAGAACACGAAGAAACATTTGAAGTAACAGATAGATATGCACTGCAAAGATGATCTTCAATAAAAATTGCTTACAAAGAGAAAAATATGCTGCATCAGAAATATCACTATACCTGTACAGCCAACCGCCTTGGCTGCGTGCAAGCTATGAGTCTGCCACCCTCAGCCCAACCTGCCTCTTTTAGATACTGAAATAAGAAAAGGAATGAACAAATAAAACAATGATTCAGATCAATGTTTAAAATTGCGTATTCGGGTATTGAGGCGTTTTTCATTCGTGAGGCGAGGCGTAAGCCTCAATGCGTTTTGAGGCATAAGCCTCAAAATCAAAAGATTGCGTAAACATAAAATGATAAATTTTTTATATACTAATGAGATAATAATATAAAACATAAAAAAGCATAAAATATGAAGTGAAATCAAAATATCTCAATAATAAGACAACATGAAATATAGTTCAACACAAAATTTTGTCTTTCCCAAATCCCAATATTCTTTTCATTAACATATAATTTCAATTTCTAAAAATAAATAGCAATGACATATCACATAAGAACACATAAGTCATCAGCACTATCATCACTAAGGGGTTCTTCATCTGAATCATCATTATAGTGAATTGTTCTCTCCCCTTCCTCCTCTCCTATAGAGTCTAATATCGGGCATTTACTTCAAGATTTATGTAAGTTTTAATATATATAGTGTGAGGCGTAAGCCTTAAGCCAGTGAGGCGAGGCGGGCCTCAAGGTGGGCCTCAACCAAGTTGAGGCGCAAGCCTCATAAAAAAACTCGAGGCGTAAGCATCGAGGCATTTTTTATTGGAATTGCGCAAAGGCGAGCCTCATATTGCGCAATTTTAAACCATGATTCAGATCGATAAAGAACTCATTTGGTTTCTTTTGTTTTACTAATCTTAATTGTGAAAATTAAATCATTAATTTGATAGATTTTGAAAGTGTTTTAAGATTTTGTAATCAACAGTGATTTCTAACTACATTCACCCGAATGACAGTCCAATAAATTCAACGTTGTTTAAAACAGGTTTTCTAACTTCAAGCAACCAAATGAAACGTATGAAAATTTCCAACATATATGGCTAAGCCACAATTTTTTCATTGCCATGAATCGTTAATAATCCATTAAACCAGCACGCAACAATATATGCACAAAACAGAAAAGAGAATGCGAGTAAATCAACAGCCAAGAGTTTGATTGCTTATATTTTGTAGCGTGTTTCTTTAAACAAATCCAGAAAATGAATAGATTAAAAAAAAACTTTCATTTTTTTCCACCTGAGGGATTTGGGTGGTCTTTCCGCTACCAGTCTCGCCAACGATTATGACGGTGGAGTGGTACTCCACCAGATAAAGGATGGCAGTCCGATACTTGAACACAGGGAGTCTTTGTCTCTGCTTTTCCAAGCTGGCGTAACCATAGCTATAAATTTGGGAATAAAATCTTTTTTGTCGGCTAAGTGTTTCTTGAAATGCGTGAAAACGAGATTTTAAAATAAGGCGAAGTAAGGACCTTGAAGATGGAGGAGGGGTCGAGTAGAAGAGGACGCCACCTTCCTCATCATCGACAAGACACGGCCGAGGCCGCTCGGTTCCCGGCTTCCAGAACTGAGACATCGCTCGAGAGGAACGAAGGAGGTATATTTCGACTAGCAGAATACAGCGACTCGACTACTACATTTACCTCAAATGTTTGCACGTATAAGAAATTGGTTTACATAATTAATCACCCACCCAATTCTCACCTTTTAACAACTCGCACCCTAAGGGGCTGTTTAACAGGAAGTGGGATTTAACTAAAGTGGAATTTAGTAAATTCTGAGGGTGTTAAATCTTGTTAATGATTTTTCATAAAATTGTGTTTTCGATTAGTCGTTTTGTATGACCTTTTGACCAAATTTGATTGTACAGACGAACATGTGTTCGTCTAGTACGATCGGTTAATAATGATCGTACTTGACGATTGAATTCGTCAGCATACAAATTAACAACTGGATCATACAAACGAACAGATGTTTGTATAGACAATGTTCGAAAAGTAACTATTCTCATAATGCCCGCCATGTTTGTACGAATGAATAATTAAAGGTTCGTACAGACGATGATGTGTTCATACTATAAGATTAACATTAAAAAAAATCAAATTTTTGTATGTCCAACTTAGGAAAAAATCATGTAAAATCTAAAAAATTCATACAGTACGAAAGTGACTCGTATAGTATGAATGGAAAAGGAATTTTAGATTTGCACACGATGATCAAGATTATTTTCCAAAAACAAAATAATAAAAATGAAAAATCAAACCCAAAATAGAGAAAAATCAAACAAAAGAAACCACAAACAAAGAATAAAACACAATCATAAACACAAAAGAAATACATCACAAATGCAATATGCAGAATTACAATTTTCAAGCATGAATATTAATAACACTCAATCTGGTTCTTGAAGTGCTAGAAGTTTCAAAAACCAGTAGTTTTATAAAAATATCCACAAGTTGATTTTCAGTAGCTACATGATGTAGCTCAATTTCTTTTTTTGTGACATGGTACCTAATGAAGTGATGTCTTATATCTATATGTTTAGTCATTGAGTGTTGGATTAAATTCTTTGAAATGCAAATTACACTTATATTATCACAGAAAATTGTAATAGTACCAATTGAAAAATCTAAATGTTGCAAATTAGGAATCAAGATTGAGATTGTGATTTTTTATGATAACAAAATATTATTGTTATGATTTTATTATTTCTTCTAGCATATATTTAAAATTTATGTTCGTTTATGGGTATATTAACGCTTTAGGACAATCATATACTACTCCAAATTGATGAAGGCTTCAAGACAATATAGAATAAGATTTCATGTAATATAGTTTATATTTTCTATTTTTATTCTTGAGTTTGAGCGAGTGTATTGTAATTGAGAACCGTGCACACACACATAGGGGGAGAGCGATATTTTTTTAAACCCGAATGTACTGTATGATCTCTAATCGTTATGTACAATTTAGCATAGTTTTTCTCAAAAATACAGTATCTCTAACACGGATTGATTTTTTTGAACTGTTCGTATTGTACAATGTTCAGTTATATAGACGACTGATAGAGTACAAAATTCTTTTCATACTAATCATACCATACAAACTTGTTCATTTTTAATTATTGGTATGATGTTATGTCAAACAGACTACTAATAGAGTATGAAATTCATTTTTGTACTGAATCATACAATACGAAATCGTTCATTTTTTAACTATTTATATAGTATGATGTTAGGTCATTTAGACAACTAACAGAGTATAAAATTCTTTTTGTATTGAATCATACCATACAAACTCGTTCATTTTTTAATTATTCATATAGTACAATGTCAGGTCGTACAAACGACAAACATAGTACAAAATTCTTTTTGTACTAAACCATGCCATATGAACTAGTTCATTTTTGAAATTTCGTACACTATGATGTCAAGTCATATAGACGATTGACAGAGTACGAAATCAGGTTCATACTGGATTGTACCATATGAATACATTTATTTTTGAACTATTCATACAGTACAATATAAATCATACAAATGATTGACATTGTATGAAACTAAGTTCATCCTACTTTGTATTAGATGAAGTCCTAATTTTTTGAACTGTTTATACTGTACGATCGTAAGTCGGTTCACTCGAATTATTCAATTTTTAGATATTTTTTTATGTATTTTCTATCTAAAGAGTCATGAAAACTACCACACAATCTTTTTGCTGCAAATTTCTTTTGAGTGAGACAATAGAGAGTGAGTTTGGGAGAGATTTTTAAGATTATAGAATTAGAGATCTAGTGAAGAAAAATTATGAGGGATTCATAAGGTTGCCAAAATTGAGGATCTCTTTGTCTTCTTCAAGTTTCTGCCCATCTTCTTTCTAGGCTCTTAAGAGAAGATTCTGAACATTAAATCAAGGTACTCTGCCTTAACCTGGAGGGTGAAAAAGGATGTCAAGGTACTCTACCTTCACCAAGAGGATGAAAAAGGATGAGAAGGTACGCTGCCATCATTTGGAGAGTGTAAAAGGTGACAGTTTTCTACCGCACCGGGTTGGTGGAAGAAAGTTTGTAAAGGCTTTTCTGCCTTACTGTGGGGGCAAAAAGGAGAGTCAATTTTGTTTAGTTCAATACATGGAGAAGGAGTCTCTAAGAAGTGGATGAGGTCTAATTGGACTGCACCACTATAAATTTTGGTGTTCTTCTATTAACTTTATTTTTCCCACAATTTTTATTTTATTGCTTTTATTTTTTTATGGTTTAAAAATTATTTGTGAAAATATTTTTTATAGATAATACCATATTTTAGAATTAGTACTTTTATTTTTCATAAAGTTTAAAAAGGTTTTCAAAAAACTAAGAATTTTATTTTAGATAACAAATTCACCCCCCCCCCTGGTTAGTCTTGGGACATTTCTATTAGGTTTAATAACCTACATGAACTTTCAAGTGGTATCAAAGCTAATTCCAAAATTTAAGGTTTAGACTACTTTTTGAAAAAAGATCATGGCTAATTTTGGAAACTAAAATGCTCCTTAAGGATATTCAATCACTAGACCACCTTTATTTGATAACATTCCCTTTGATTTTTGGAAGACTCATATGTCTACTTTTCTGCAATCGCTTAACTATTGCATGTGGATATTAGTACAGAAAGGTTACACCAGACCTACTAGACTTATTGATGGCATTAGGATTGAAACACCATTCATTGATTGTATATTAGAAGAAAAAGAATTAGCACATTTAAATGCTAAATATTTAAATAGTTTTTTTTGTGCTTTGAAATCTGAGGATTATATGCATGTTTCTACTTGCAAAACTAGAAAAAAAAATTTGGGATAGATTTTTCATAACTTATGAAGGAACAAACAATGTAAAGAAATATATGTTGAATATTTTTGTTTACATGACTATGATTTATTTCGCATTAAATCAAATAAATCAATTTCTGATATGTATACAAGATTTAGTCAGATTGATATCTCATTGTATATTTTAGGTAAATAACTTAAAAATTCAAAGAAAGTTAATAAAATCTTACGTTATTTACCTACTACTTATGATGATAAAATAACTGTCATAACTGAGTCTAAAGATCTGAATTTATATTATATTAACAATCTGCTTAAATCACTTATTTCTTACGAACAAGGAGTGAGTCAAAGATAGATTAATGTCGGTTACATGTAGAAAGAAAGGAATATAGCTTTAAAAGTTGATGATTTAGAGAGTGATCAATTAATGCCTGAGGATGAAGAAGATATTGCACTTATAACTAGGAAATTCAAAAGTTTCCTTAAGAGAAAGCAATGAAGACGTCAGCATTTGAACAAAGGTAAGTTCAATAAGAATGCTAAAGTTTCTAATGAGATCATTTATTATGAATGCAGAAAACCTGGACATATAAAGACTAAGTTCCCAAATCTCAAGGCTGATCCAAATAAGGATAAAGCTGAGGAGAAAATGAACATTAGAACTCAGCTTCAGATTCTTCAGAGATAAAAGCTAAAGTGGAGGTTACAAAATTGTGCTAAATGGCAGATAATCTTGATCATTCTGATCAAGAGGATAGACGCTCTGACACAAGCCCTCATGAGAACATTTGGTAGGTTCATGTATGATTGGTAACATGAAAATTTTTATCATCGGAGACCAGGAGTAGAGGAATAGTTAAACTTGGAGATAACACCACTATGAGAGTGGTAGGTTCATGTATGATTGGTAACATGAAAATTTTTTGGATTAAAAATGTTTTATTGGTTGAAAGCTTAAAGCATAATTTTGTAAGTATAAGACAGCTTTGTGATAAGGTTTTTAATATAAAATTTTTCCTACAAGCTGCATTATAAGCCAAAATGGAGTTGATATGTTGCATGTAGTAAGGTAAATAATATTTAAATGTTTGATTTAAATTATATTAAATCTTCTAATTTTTTTTCTAAAAACTATTGTTGATGAATCTTGATTGTGGCATAAAAGACTTTGTCATGCAAGCATGTGAGCATGAAAAATCTTAAGAATATTACCCAAAAGAAATTGGTGAGAGAAATACCCAAATTAGACTTTACTAAGGATTACTTGTGAAATGTGTGTCAATTAGGAAAATAAGTAAAGTCATCCTTTCATTCAATTAAAAATCTTATAACTAGCAAACCATTAGAAGACCTTCGCATAAATCTTTTTGGACATGTTAGCACTATAAGTCTAAGAGGAAATGTTTTTGGATGTGTAATTGTAAATGATTAATATGTATCCATTTAAAAGAGCATCGCATAGGAAGAATTTTAAAATTTTTATTAAGAAAATAGACTTCAAATTATCGGAGGCCAAGAAGCCAGAAGAAACAAATTGAATGGATTTTCTGCCCTTATCATCACATGTTAAGCCACACAATTGAAGTCTATTTTACTTTCAAATATTGGTTGGAATGGAAATACAAGTCGAGGAACGTGATCATCCCTAAGGAGTGTCTCCTAGATTTAGGCCAAGGCTTCATTAAAGGCATTTCAGGTCAGTCTTCTACCCCTTCCTCTTATATGCTTACTAATGGTTGGAGAATTGCCCTATCTTGAACTTTGTTAAAGGTCATTAATAAGTCCTTTCAACTTTCTCAATAGTTTCCAACAAGAGCCCAGAGTCCAATCCTACAGATT